TGGTGATGGACAGGTCATACATGCATGGGTGGTGATGGACAGGTATATACATGCATGGGTGGGTGGTTATGGGATGCATGGATGGTGATGGACAGGTACATACATGCGTGGGTGGGTGGTTACAGGATGTGTGGATGGTGATGGACAGGTATATACATGCATGGGTGGGTGGTTACAGGATGCATGGATAGTGATGGACAGGTACATACATGCATGGGTGGCTAGGTACGGGATGCACGGATAGTGATGGACAGGTACATACATGTATGGGTGGGTTACATACTCTTGTTCCCAACTCCTGCCTTTGAGGGAAGTTTACAACCCCAATGGGCTGTGCAGATGTCACCCTTGAATCTGAGAATGCCACACCCAGCTAACACACCTGCTGTTCCCCTAAAGGAAGGTCATCTAAAAATTGAGAAGATAAAGGCCAGGTGTGGTGTCTCACTTCTGTAATCCTAGCACTGTGGGAGGCCCTGGCTGGTGGATCACTTGAGCTCACAAGTTTGAGACTGGCCTGAGCAAGAATAAGATTCAGTCTTTATTAAAAATAGGAAAAAAATTCAGGGCCTGGTGGCTCACGCCGGTAATCACAGCACTCTGGGAGACAGCTGCTTGCACTCAGGAGTTTGAGACCAGCCTGAGCAAGAGTGAGACCCCCTCTCTAAAAACAGCCATGCGTTGTGGTGGACACCTGTAGTCCCAGCTATTTGGAAGACTACAGCAAGAGAATCCCTTGAGCCCAAGAGTTTGAGGTTACTATGATTTATGATGCCATGGCACTTCTTTTCAAAGTGAGACTGTTGAAAAATCAATCAATAAAATAAAATTTGAGAAGATAATCTGTGTCTCACTGTGGGTGGAAGGAATGGAACTGGACTTTGGACAGCCGTGTTTGTGTTCAGAAAGGCATGGCAGGGTGAGGGACACAAAAGTGCTGTTGGTACCAAAGGGCCCTGGGGCTAAATCAGCCTGGGGCTAGCAGGGACAAGTCTCAGGCAGACCACTGTGCTGGGCTTTGTGTGATCCCATGCTTCCTAGTCAAATTGCTCCACCATCTGCCCCATGTTCCCTAGGCAGTGGGTGAGGGTCCAGCTGAGTGTGGGGAGTGATGGCCTCACTGCCCCCAACCACAAACCAGTGTTTCCTGGCACAGTGAGGAAATTAGTGACAAAGGACATGAAATGGCCCAATATGAAATTTCACATTTCCCAATATGAAATGTGCTGAGTTATGAGAGGTTGAACCGAAGTAAAAATGGGAAGTGGGAAAGGAGGGTGTCTGGCAGAGTGGCCTTACTCAGAAACCCAAATGGTTCTTCTTTAGTTGAAATTTAGGGTTAGAGGTGGGGTGACTCTGGAAATTCTGTGGTCCTGAGGATTTAGGGTTGGAAAGGAGAAGTGTGAGGTGAGAGAGTGAGGGTGATGAAGATGAAATCCCACCTGCATTCGAAGAGTGCTCCTCTGAGTAAGACCACAGGTGCCCCCACCTTGAGCCCTGAGCCCAGATCACAGAAGGGGTGCTGGGATGGTAGGGAGGTAGCAGAGGGCCCCAGAGGGAGGGGCTGGGGGAGGGGGCAGGTGGGGGAGCTCAGGGCCCCAGAGGGCAGGTGCAGGGAGAGGGTGGGGCAGATGCTTGAGGAGGTGGGTTGGGCAGGTCTTGAGGGCTGGGGCTGGGACTGCAGCTTAGTGTATAGAGCTCTGAGAGTTGTTGGAGGGCTGTGTAGATGGGTAGGTACTGTCTCACATGCTGGTGATGCCTTTAGTGGTATGGGGAGGTGCTGTAGGGCCACAGGTGTGCTGAATGTAACCACGTGTCAGCAGTGTGCCAGTCGAGTTAGCTCCACATCTAGGTTGTGACATTTGTCATGTGTTACAGTTTTGTTAGTTTACAGGTCTGGGTTTCCTGCAGCAAATCTTTAAATGCACAGTGACTTCTTAAAAGGAGACAGACTAGGGCAGGGCACGGGAGCTCATGCCTGGAATTCCAGCACTCTGGGAGGCCTAGGTGGGTGGATCACCTGAGCTCACAGGTTTGAGACCAGCTTGAGCCAGAGCAAGACCTCGCCTCTGAAAATACCCAGGTGTTGTGGCCAGCGCCTGTAGACCCAGCTATTTGGGAGGCTGACTGGAGAGAATCTCTCAAGAGTCTGTGGTTGTTGTGAGCTGTGACGCCAGGGTACTCTGTGGAGGTAGACAAAGTGAGATTCTGTCTCCAAACAAACAAACAAAAAAAAAAAAAAAAAAAAAAGCAAAGAAAGGGAAAAAAGGAGACGGACTACTTGTTAGGGTGATGCTGTTCTTATTTGTCAGCAGATTTCTGAGGTATAATCGAATGAAGGAACAGAGGGGATAACTGGGGAGCCCTGCCTGGGTCACACATATCCGCCGGCCATGTGCACTGGGGATGTAATATTTGCCAACCCAAATTCATTTTAGGGGTGAACTGGAATGCTCCACACCTTAGGATACAAAATTGAGCGGATGTTGTTTTAAACGCAGCCTCTGTGTGCTCTGGAATCAGTGGTGGTTTTTCAGAGACATGCAGAGAGCCCATTTGGACCTCCGGGCCTGGAACAAAGACTGGGAGAGGCGACCCCGGTTCTCCCACCCAGAACTCAGCGGTCAGCTGCAGCTGACTCAGCGCTTATGAGGCTGTGGGGGGTGGGGGAACACATGTCCTCCCTGTAACAAGGCAGGAAAAACATATAGAAATAAGGAAAAAGGAAAAGTTAAGGCAACACCACGAAGCGATTGAGAGTTAAGCAGTGATCCGAGCTTGTAGAGGCACGTGGCTAAGTGCGGATCGCAGGAGCCCCCACCACCCTGTGTATTGTGTGGCGGTCCACCAGCCGGGCCACGTCGTCCAGGTGCGGCCACCAATTGTACAGGAACCTCTCCGCGATGGTCCTCAGCCAGGGGGTGACCCGCACCTCGCCGCGGGCCCCGCGCGCCAGCAGCTCGCGCAGCTGATCCTGCGCCAGGTATTGGAAGCTTTTGGTCTCGCTGGGGTCGGGGGCCACACACACGTCCTTCCGCACCAGCAGGAGATAGCAGATCTCGTGTTCGCCCCAAACGCGGTCGGATTTTGCCTTGTGATGATAGATTGTCATGAACACAACATCCTCCACAGAGATCTAGCGGAGAAATCGTCAGAGTTAACAGAATTTATAGGAAAATGGAGAAAATAATCGCGTTTCTTTCCTTCAAAGGAAATTAACGATTTCTGCTGGCACTTTAATTCTAGCTATCTGACCTCTGCCGACTCAGGCTGAGTAATGACCTGGCTTTTGTTTTGTGTTTCCTGAACACCTGTGAGCATCATGATTTGAAGAGCCGAGCCCCTGCCCCACAATGTCCCACCAGGTCCCGCAGACGCAACGCAACTCTGTGGGGAGCCAGCACGTCCCTCTCCCAGCCCCGCCCGCGTCCCTCTCCCCATCCGGCACCCCCCGCCCGCCTCCGCACCTGCTCCGTGGGGATGCCCAGCTCCGTCAGCAGCCGCCTGCGGGCCGCCCTACGCACCCCGACCCGCGTCCCACTCCGCATCCCGCACCCCCGCCCGCCTCCGCACCTGCTCCGGGGGGATGCCCAGCTCCGCCAGCAGCCGCCTGCGGGCCGCCCTGCGCACCCCGACCCGCGTCCCACTCCGCATCCC